CACCTGGTGACCTTTAAAAAATGCCAACACTAGGCTTCACTCCAGAACCACTGTTGGAGAAGCCTAACATTGATTTGTTGGACAAAACTAGATGCCATTTAACAAATATTCAGCTCCATTACTCACTGGGAAAAAAGTTTTCTTCCCTGATTATATGACTACATATACTCACATTATTAAATGACTAATTATTTTTAAAAATGAATACACTTTAGAGATCCTCTAAAGTATTTGTACCTGACGTAAAATAATTCTGACAGTTGCCTAGATTTCTTGCTGTAGCTTTGCTTTCTCTTAATTAAAAAAAAAATTCTTATCATTTTTGTGGTTAATTGCTTCTGCTTGGCTTAATTTTTTTTAATTTGGGAAAATATATTAACCACAGACAAGCATAGAGTCTAAAGTAACAACTCACCCCCCTTGAAATTAACAAATGTATACACTGTCATGTTAGTTTAAAATACTTATATACAAATATATAAAATATATAATATACATTTATATATAGTATACAGTTGACCCTTGAACAACATAGATTTGAACTGCACAGGTCCACTTATATTCTCATTTTTTTCAATAAATGCTGTAAATGTATTTTCTCTTCCTTATGATTTTCTCAATGTTTTCTTTTCTCTAGCTTACTTTATTGTAAGAATGCAGTATGTAATACATATAACATACAAAATGTGTATTTAGCAACTTTGTTACCAGTAAGGCTTCTGGTCAACAGTAAGCTATAAGTAGTTATGTTTTGGGGGAGGAGTCAAAAGTTATATGCATATTTTTGACTGTGCAGAGGGTTGGTGCCCCAAATGCCCACATTGTTCAAGGATCAATTATATATAAAATATTACAAGTAGAGCATAAAAGTTGGTTGGGAAGTCAAGGCTAACAAAAAAAGCAATGAGAACATGTAACTGCTAAACAGTGGCAATGTTGTGAGTGCAATATAATTCAAAGAGAGAGCCCAGCAGATTCATGGTGGAGTTGAGATTTGAGCAAAAACTTGAAGCTAGGGGAAAATTTCAATCAGCTGCAAAACAAAAGGAGAGCAATCTAGGTGGGAAAACAACATGAGTCAAGGCCGAAGATGGGAATGAGCATAATATAGTTTTTTCTAAAAGTCTTTCGTATGATCTAATAATAACACTTAACACTTTTTGAGCACTTATATGTAAAGCACTATTCTAAGTGCTTTACATGCATATATTACCTTGTTTAACACAGCAACACTGTCATCAAGAGCACGTTACTCAGATCATTCTTTTCTGTTGCCCTTAGACAAGGTTCCCTGAGTCTTAGCTTCTCCATCTGTTAAAACAAAGCAGTATAATATTGTTTTGTGCATGGATATACGCATATGGGTAAATACAGAAGGGACTAAATAGAAAATGATATACCTATTAGTAAATAATAGGTATAATTGGTAAATAAATGGTCACACTATATTTATTTATTTATTTATTTATTTTAAGAACTGTCAGACTGCTTTCCAAAGTGGTTGCTTAATTTTACATTCTCATCAGCAGTGGACAAGGGCACCAATTTCACCACATTCTTGGAAACACATTATTAGGCGGCTTTTTGGTTACAGTCATCCTACTGGGTGTAAAGTGGTATCTCATTGTGGTTTTGATTTGCATTTACCTGATGGCTAATGTTGAGCATCTTTTCAAGTGTTATTAGCTATTTGTATATCATCTTTGGAGAAAAGCCTATTCAAATCCTCTACCATTTTAAAAACTGGTTTATCTTTTTACTGTTGACTTGTAAGAGTTCTTTATATATTCTGGATATGTCTCTTATCAGACATATGATTTATGAACATTTTCTCCCATTCAGTAGGCTCTTTTCACTTTCTTGTGTCTTTTTAAGGACAAACATTTTAAATTTTGGTAGTCTAATTTATCCATTTTTTCTTTTGTTGTTTGTGCTTTTAGTGTCATATCTAAGCATTCATTGCCAAATCTGAGGTCATGAAGACATAGCCCCGTGCTTTCTTCTAACAATTTTATGGTTTGAGTTTACATTTAGTTTTTTGATTCATTTTGAGTTAATTTTTTGTACACAGTGTGAAGTTAAGGGTCCAACTTTATTCTTTAGCTTGAGGCAGTTGTCCGCGCACCATCTGTAGACTGTTCTTTCCCCATTGAACGGTCTTGGCAATATTGTTGAAAATCAGTTGGCCATAAATAAATGGGTTTATTTCTGGACTCTCAATTCCATTCCATTGATCTATATCTTTCCTTATGTTGTACTACATTGTCTTGATTATTGTAGCTTTTGTAGTAAGATTTGAGATCAGAAGTGTAAATAATCTTTTTTCTTTTTCAAACTTATTTTGGCTATTCTCGGCCCCTTGAGTTTCCATATGAACTTTAGGATCAGCTTGTCAATTTCTACACAGCCAACTGGGATTCTGATAGGAATTTGGTGAATCTGTAGATCAAGTTGAGGAGTATTACCATCTTAACAATATTAAGTCTTCTGATCCAGGAACATGAAAGTCTTTCCATTTATTTAAACCTTAATTTCTTTGAATGAGATTTTGAGATTTTGTAGTTTCCAGAGAATACGTTTTGCATGTCTTTTAAGTTTATTCTTAAGTATCTTCTCTTTGATGCTATTGTAAAATAAATTGTTTCCTTAATTTTATTTTCAAATATTTCCTTGCTAGTGTATAGAAATAAATTGCTTTTGTATATTGATCTTGTATCCTGAAATCTTGCTGAACTTAATTAGATATTCTATAAGTTTTTTAGTGGATTTCTTGGGATTTTCTACATACAAGATCATGTCATCTGTGAATATAGTTTTACTTCTTTTCCAATTTGAATGCGTTTAATTTCATTTTCTGGCATGAAAGACAAATTGCAAACCAACAAAAAAAAGTTTAGAGTAATAATGTCATATTTGTATGGAAATAAACTATGACGATCTGATGAGTGACTTGGGTAGCTACTTTAGATTGAGTGCATGGAAATGCCTTCGGTGAGGAAATGACGTCTAACCTAAAATCTGAATTCTGCATCTTCTAGTCAGTAAGAACAGCTAATGTGAAGGAACTAAAAGATGGGAATGAGCTTACTTATTGGAGGAACAGGTAGACTGGAATGTAATAAACAAGAGGAGAAAGGAGGTCTGAGAGGCAGTGGGGGTTAGGTCATGTTGGGTTTTATAAACCTGAGCAAAGGATGTTGGATTTTATTCTAGGTTTGATGGAGTGCTACTAGAATGTGAAACAGGGGAGTGATGTGATATGATTCACTTTTCAAAATCACTAACGTTGTTTTGTAGAAGGTTGGCATGGAAGCCAGGGAATCACTTAGGAGTCTTTTTTTATAGCACTTTGTCAAAGATGTTAATGACCCAGAGTGGTGATAACAGAAGTGGAGAGAAGGAAAGAGATGTAGGGTATAAATGGAACTTGTTAATGAATTGAATGTAGGGGAGTAAAGACAAGAATAAGGAATAATTTCTAGGTATTTGGCTTGTACACATGGGTGGGCAGTAGTGCCATTTACTCAACTGGGGAAAACTGAGCTTAAACAAGCAGGGAGTTGTAGGGGGTGCTGGGGGAATACATCACAAGTTCTGTTTTGGTTATGTTGAGTTGGAGACACTTACTGGTATTCCAATTGGATGTCAAGTAGACATGTTGGATAAACAAGACCAGAACTACAAAAAGTGAGCTGGGGTCACTTGTTTTCAACTTGGAGATGCCAGTGAGCCAGGCAATCCAAGGTTAAATTGTTTCAAGAAAGGGTTGGAAAATGCTGCTAGGCCCAGATTCCAATCCCAGTGCGTGGGTTACTTTAACTCTCTGAATTTTCTTCTCCACCTATAAAATGGGGATAATACCTGATTTGCGGGGGTGGGGTGGGGTGGGAAGTGGGTCATTGTGAGACTAAAGGAGCTGTGGCATATAAGAGAGAGAGCACCATCCACAACATAGACGTTTAGCAACTACTATTCTACACTATCTCTAGTTTGATAAGAACGGACCTTGTCACAGACAAGTAGTAAGAGCCAAACTAGCTACATTTTCTCAAGGAAAGAGATGGAGAGCT